AATACAAGGGGGTTCGCAGACAGATGGAACTTCTCGAGAAGCGATTAGGGGAGCTTGAGCTCCCCACAACTGTGGAATATACGTGGGAGGATGTTGCAAAATATGTGCAGCAGGGCCAAAAACTGATCGTGATTGGGGACAACGTTATTGATCTGGAGAAGTCCGTTCCAACGGGATCCGGCTACACGCACTCCAATGAAAAAATTGTTTGGTATGAAGCACATCCGGGAGGGAAGAAGATGTTGGATATTTATGTGGGCAAAGACGCTACGGAGGCATTCCAAGGAGGAATATACAAGCATTCTTTGGGTGCCGAGAGCCTGATTCCTCACCTGCGTGTCGCCAAATTGAAGCGTAAGTGAAATTTGACGTAGGCGTTCGGATGTGGCAACAGCGGTACACTCGTTCTGTTGTCGCATTATCACGAGGAGGGCAAAAACAGAGAAAAGGTATGGAATTAAAAGGAAAAGAAGGGAAATGGAGGGGGCTAACGAGTACAGCAATACACACAAATGTATAAAAAAGCAAACAAAAAACTTCAGTCCATTTACAAGGTATAATGCAAGGGATTTGAAGGAGAAAACATTAAAATGCGGAGACCATTTAACAGGGAAGGAATAACAATATATATATATATATATATATATATATATATAGAGAGAGAGAGAGGGGGGGAGCGAAAACACATTTGTTGGTTTGTGTGCATGTTCGATAACTCCTTTTCTTTTGTGTGTTTGTATGGGCTACTAATGCTTTTCTTCTCTTATTATATTATTAGGTACATGGTTTGTTTGTTTGTTTGTTTGTTTACTATTTTTTTTTTTTTAACTAGACGTTTTCTTTTCCTTCTTTCTTCTTTTTTTTTTTTTTTTTTTTTTTTTTGTTGTTGTCTTATGCTTCTTACAAGCTTCTCTGTAACGGGAGAGGTGTTGATGGTGAAGGTCCGACGTCTCGCTCTTGTTGGCAAAAAAGGTTTAAAAAATTATACACCTTCTCTCTCTCCCTCACTCTCTTTCTTCAAAAAAAAAAAAAAAAAAAAAAAATTTGGTTATTTCTGGGAGTTGGGGAAATGGCAATGTGGTTTGTATTTATTTAGGAAAACTTTGTCCATATGTCAAGGAGAATAAAAATTGATGAACATACCGGAGCGTATTCACAGGAAAACGTCTTTTTTTCGCGGACTACAAAAGATTTTGACGCCATCCCTGACTTGCTTGGGAGTCGTTTGCCGACGTTCTTTAGCGCTTGTTTTTGTTTTTTCCAGGTTCATGGTCGAGTTATTTTATTGTTCG